GTATTTATTTATTTACCACTCTGGGTGCGCTGCAAACTGAAAGGGTAGAGAGAGATTGTTAGTATGGTCCTTAACCTTTGAAGTCTGTTCCTTTTTCGCGGTTTCAGAGGAGATAACGAAGACGCTGCGGGATCTCATATATGGCAGTTCTGACGCCTCCACAGCACGCAAAAACTCATAGGCCTTTTTAGGTTACGAGTTTAGTTTTTACAGTTATTTTTTTCCACTGCTAGTTGGAGACGGGAAGGAATGATTACTAAGCTGGAGGCTGCGGGATACCCCTTTGCTGTTTAAAACGATTAGTTCTGAAGGGCTCAGCCAGAGAGGCCGCCAGGTCCTCACTTAGGGTGTCCTCCATTTTTTTGCTTTCTTTTCCCTATAGATTCATTTAGCAACTATAGGCTTGCAATTGAACGCCACTGTCATCAATATACAATCGCGGGGCTTGCCCTTGAGATCGCAATCACCCAGACTTGCTGGTGGATCCCTTAGAGGGTGCGAATACGGTATTTTCATCCAGAATGGCTGCGGTATCTGTTACTGTCAGACAACCCATGATCATGGGTCTTTAGCCTCTTTGGTGGTCCAATCGCCCTTCTTAAACACACTGCTGAACGAGAAGGCCGAAAAAAACTTTCATAATCCAATTCAGGGAGTCGTGCCGCAAATTCGGAGGGCAGATTTAATTTGGCGTCTCAGGATACGTATAACGGTGTACGCATCATTCCAAATGCCCTGATCGACTTTTTGAAGTTCCCTTGCGAGCTGTCCAGATGGGTATATTGTTGTTGTCTTAGTCTCCTTGCATTCACTTCCCCGCATTCTCTGCATTCTTCTAAGGCAGTCAGTCGCACTTTCCTATAGGTTGCCAGCCCAAACTCGCCTGCCCAAACAAACTACGCTTGCGGTGACGAATAAAGGTCAAAAACAACGCAAGAGGTATCCCCAAGTTATGCTATTTACAGGCCATGAGATCACTCTCCAACAACAGAGTCATTCCGCTAAGTATTTACTACTTCGATCACTATCAGCAACTCCAACTTTTTTGTTTTTCTCGTGTCTGTTTCATTCGCTGGAAACGTTACTGCCAAGCGGTCCAAGTTCTGTTCTGTAAAAGAAGTTCCGTAAAAGGTACGTTTTTCTCTCTTATACCATTTTTCAGTTCCCGAAACTTATCAGAAGGTCTTAGTTCTCCATTGATGTCATGGCCATAATTGTTTTCAGCGACATCTTTTTGGGTCTCACCATCAGTGTTGGTGTCAACAACGAATCATCCCTTCTCGTTCTAACTTTATTCCTTCTTTTCCTTCCTTCCTTCCTTTTCCTTCTTTTCTGGCTTGAAAGACTCAACCAGACGAGATGATGGGGAAACACCCTGAGCCCACGTAGCGAGAGAGTTTCTGCTTGGCAGATGTTCTGCAACCAATCCTTTCGAAAAGGAGGTTACGTGAAATTCGGAGCGTTCCTTTGGGCTGTCTGGTCTCTCTCGCTCCCTTCTACTTCGATTGATTCATTTTCCCAGTCCACGAAGTTCACATGATTGGCAAACTGTCAACAACCCGGTCGGTATTCCTCGGATTCCTTTGCTATTTTTATTCTTTCAATCAGTAGATTCAGAAGGCTGCTTAGCTTTGAGCCGTCAGGGTTGGAAGGGGCTCAAGCAAAGATGGGTCACGTAGCCCTTCTATAGATTGGAGTGGGCGGGGAAAAAAGGCAGAAAAAAAAACAAACAAAGGATTCTCCAAACAAACAACCAGAAGTTGGCAAGGACCCGGAGTGGGCGACTCACATGGTTTGCACACGAAATCGCAACTCAGATGGGCAGGAAGACTGTCAATGAGGATCCAATGAGGGCTCCGCCTCAGGCACCGCGGCTCCCTGAATAAGCGGCCTACAGTTGGCTTCTATAGGCGGTTGGAGTTCAGACTGAATAGGGGCACTGGTGTAGTCAGGAAGAGGAGAGGGGAGGGGCATTTTGTGGCGCTAAACCGCACCCTGCTTCCCACCGGAGTTCCAGACGTTTTCCACGAAGGCGGAAACCATTTTCGGGCTATCGTGCTATATCAGGTAGTCTAAAAGACTCAATTAAGCATAAAAGTATGGCATTATCACGCACCCGTCCGGCCATAGCCATGCCCACCTCCCCTACCGCCACTTGCACAAGCGTGAGACAGAATATTATCAAAGGCGACATCTTTGGCAGTGAAGTTATCATCTAGCAGAAATGCAGGTTCCATAAAGGTGAGTGAGACATAACAATCGTAACGTTGACGGTCGTCGTCGCGCCAGCGCACGCCGGTGCGGTGATCTCTCGCGGCAAAGATCTCGATATGACAAATGCAGTTAGATACGGTGGAGCAGCAGACATCATGCGAATTCGAGTCGGATGAACAAAACTCAGATCTTGGCCGATTATTTCGAAGTAAAATTCTTCTTCTTTACCTTGAACACACTTCCATGTATCAAACTGCAAGACGAGACAACTCGTCATCGGTACACGCGCGTTGCTCGCCACACCATCGCGACATATTAACGGTTTTCTTGTCACATACCCGTTTTGAAACGATGGATCTTCGATTTCTGAAGAGTGATTACTATTGTCTGCTGCAATTTCAGCGCTAAGGTAGTTGGGGAGTCCACGCGGCGAGCGCGGGCCGCGCCCGCTCAGTTCGTCTGCGCTCTCTATAGGTCGCACTATCGGATCGCGACTACGAAAGTGCGGGAAATTTCTGCAACACGTGCTCACCGCTATCCAGGCGGTCAGATGGACTCCACTGTGATTTCCGCAGCAATGATGCGCCCGGCAAGGGAGATCATTGGGCCAATATTATTCCAATGGGAAGGTGCAGACAACAGAGAGGACTCATTAGTCGTGGTGCCGCGTTGCCTCCTCGAGTACCTTAGCGTCAGATTTCGCATTACGTTTCTTGTGTTTATCCCCTCGTTTTCAGGATATGCTATTGTTAGCCATGAGTCTGATGACAGCCACGGTACTATCCTCGTACATGTTCTGTATGAAAAGAAAACAGAAGGAAAAAGAAATGACGCCGTCGATGCGATCGTTAGCCGTACCTCCAGGTGGATTACCACCACCAGCACCAGTACCTGGCGCTGAAGGCGGTGGCAGCACTTCTGGTCCACCAGGAGGTCCACCACCCGAAGCTGCTGCTCCACCTGCTGGGAAATGACCTGTTCCATCGTCAACATTCGAAACATCATAAATCTACGCTTAACACATTATGAATCTTATATCGTTAACCGTCTTTCGGGTACTGCTCCATTTTGATGCGATCAATAAACGTGTTTCTGAATGTTACTTTCAAAATAGTTCTATCATTACTCGAAGGTATGATCCACGATTAGCTGAGAGCGCTAACGTAAAAGGGGGGCGGGAGGCTTTACAGCGCGTCCCTTCCCCCAACAAAGGGTCAATATTAGAGCGCAGACGCTCACAGTCGCTCAGGATAGCCTCGCAGAGAACTCATAGTATCCACTTACCTAAGCCTCAGTTTGGGGAGGGGAAAAAGAAGCGCTATAGAAGGCCACTCCTTCAAGCACGTTACGCCTATTGATCGAACAAACGAAGGGGAGCGATAGTGTAGTTTGGGAGAAGGGGGAGGGCAGGGGGTGGGGTTAAGCCACATTCATTCTCCCCTTCGAACAGTATCTCGACAAGATAATGCAGACGAACGGGAGACGGGCAAAAGAATCGCAATTTCGCTCCGCCGCGCGCGGCGATGGCGCGGCGTTTTCTTAACTCGTGTTAACCTGTCGATTTAACCGGACTTCATGTAGACCCCGTCATCGTAGACATTCATGACTATTTCGGTTCTGAATTGCCTGTTGTCGCCATCTACTACCTGAACCATCGTCATTTGCGGGCGCGACGCCCACCAGCGCGGCGAATCACGATTCCTCTTGTCACATACCCCCAGGCGAACAATGGCGCAGCATACTGTCACTGCTCCTTGCCCTAACCGCGCTGGTGCTCACGGAGCGTGGCATTGGTGAACCAGGAATGATATCAACAAACAATTATTTACTCAGGCGCTAATGA